AAAAGGCTATATCGGTTCTTAAAAGAGAAGGGGTATGGGTTTGAGTGTTCCTTATGGAGTAAAATCAAATGTCATTATCTTTTAATCATTTACAATGTCAAAGATTTGTAACTCCGATCATTTACAGAGTTTTTGATTCAGTTGACATTCAAAGAATTTCAAGTTGTAAAATTAATTCAATGCCCAGTGTAAATTCATTGAAATATCCTCATAAAAAGAAATATGTCAAAGTTCAAAAATAGGTTTCGAAAAGAAATATGAGAAAGTTGAAATAAAAAACCAATCCAAACAGGATGCTGCAAAATGGAATAAATTCTCATTAGGATGCCCCACTGTTTTCATAATGTCGAGGATTAGGGCCTTTATCTGCACTGGCTCCCTATTTCTCAATTGTTTCACATGTCAGGGTTCCTTTTAATTTACCCTCAGATGCACAAATTTTTGCTTCGGGAGTGTCCGTGCTTGAGGCGGTATGTCCAGGGTTTTTTCCTTTCGAGGAGACATGCTTCTATTAGTTAATGCGAATGTAAAGAAATGAAAATAACAAAATGCAAAATATGTTTAAATGCATAATGCATGTAATGTTCGATGCATTGATCCGAAATATGTGTTTGTTATTATAAATAATCCTTATTAGGGAAAAAGTGTTAATTCTTAGGAGACAAAAAACATTTTAAAGGTATAGAACCCGAACAACTTCTGACAGGTTGAATCGTCTTCTACCTTTTTTCTGTCACTGGTTGAATGCTCTGTCGAACCGTTCTGGTTTCTCTGGCTAAACTGTGCAAGTGACGAGATGATTGCTCCTAAAAGTCTCGAATGACTGCATCTCCGGCTTTCACTCTCTGCTGAGCCTGTTCCCAACGACAGCGCCATTGGAAACCTCCATCGATAGGAATTATCCGAAGCTTGCTTCTTGAATTTGTCAGCAATGACATCCAGCTCAGCTAGGGTTTCTCCATCTTGTTCTCATAGTCTTCTAAAGGACTCTCTGAGTCAGTAACATTTTTCTTGTCTTGCCCCTGCAATTTTCACCATTCCGTTTTGGAAAAGTTGACTTTTGACGTGCTTCGTGTAAATCGAGATCCATTCTGAGTATTCTTTGACCATAGCTGGACTTCTGAGGTTTTCATCTCTTGTATTATAACCCCTTTGTCCATTAATGCAAATTATTTATGTTTAACGTACACATTTTTGGTGGATCAACACCTCTTTCGAATGATATAAATGATGAAAAATGAAAAAAGAACAAAAATGAAGGGAAAAAGTTAGTGAGACAATGATAATAAAAAATGATGAAAATGAAAAGTCCTACCCCACGGGATCTAATTCCCTGTAATCTCCCGATTTAGGTTCTAAAAAGGTACTCGAGGTCTCCTCACTGGTGCCCCCTTGGGCTTGCCAGACCCTTAGTCCTAAGCCCATTACAAACTTATGTGGACTAAGTTAAACTCGAGAGGAAACATTCCCTTATCCCCGCATGTGAATAAATTCACACGAAGAAATAAGTTATATGAATCCCGAAGGCTTTTTTCTAGGCCCGCACGATGAATAAATTCACACGAAGGCGTCGCTTTCACCCCACTTAAATAGGGTTCAGAGCTCAGGTGTAGAGCATGAGATGAAAATTTTGAAAATCTGAAATCATTGGAAAAAAGTCAGTACAACTATTTACTTGAAAAATAATCAAAGGTAAATAATTTGAATCGAATAAATAAATTAAAATTAAAATTTACTATTTTCGCATAAAAAGACAACCGAAAATTAATTCTAGCTTGACTCACTTACCTGTCCCCAACAGAGTCGCCAAGCTATCGCAATCGTCTTTCGGTCCATTCTGGAATTGGGCTTCGACTTGAATAATTGGGTTAGGGTCGCCACCGATCACTTTAAAACGATATTTAGGTAGATCAGACACCATCTTACCTGATCTGTGTTTTAACAGAAATGTGTCGGGCACGGGAGTCGGTTACGGTCAAGGAAATATTAGCACTCTTGAACCGCCCTTTCGGTACCAATTAATTTTTCGGCTGTCTTTAATTACGAAAATTTAAATTTAAATTGAAATTTAAAAAACCCGATTCGAATTTCTTACATTTGATCGATTGAGATTACCAAAAAGAAGTAAAAAAATGTTAAATAAATAAAAGATAATAAATAGAAATCAAAGTGTAAAAACATAACAAATAAAAGATAAATAAATAAAAATATATCAAATAAAAAATAATAAATAAATAAATAACAAAGAAATAAAACAAAAATAATAATAAAGAAACAAATAAAGAAAATTTAAATAAATCGAAAGAAAAAAAGTTATTTAAAAATAACTAAATAGAAATAAATAAGAAAATAATACTACTAATAATTTAAAAACATAATAACAAAAATAAAATTTCAGGGGACTAAATTGAAATAATAATAACCTGGGGATACAATTTAAGAGAAAATTATGGTAAAAATTGAATATGGGGATCAAAATGAAATTTATAAAAAATTGGGGGAACCAAAAATGCGATTCCCCCTATTTGTTACAAAAACACGCGAACCCCCTTTATAGGGTCAGGTCGGGTTAGATACGGTTCAACCCAACGGGTTGATATATAAGTAAAAAACCCCAAAATTTCTTCATTCTCCTCATTTCACTAAAAGTTTCAACCCCAAACTTCTCCAAATCCTCTCAACCTAGCCCAACCGACCCCGATGGCCGCCACCGCTTGGTGACTTCTCTGTCGCGCCGACCGCCTCTCTGGCCACTCGCCACCGAGGCGGCGGCCGGGAAAATCCCGAGTACATCAAAATAAGCCTCACGACCCCGTGAACCCAAAATCGGCCTCTAAACGCCCAAACCAAACCCCTATCGAAGTAGATCTAAGAAAACTCCTCAGGTCTTACCTTTGCTTGACGGCGATCGATGGTTTCCCCCCCCCCTTTTTAATGCTTTTTCCTTGAGATTTTCTTATTTGTTTGGCGATATTCGGTGTTTGGTTTTCGTGGTATTCACTGTTTTTGTTTTTTCGATCCTTTCTATGGTATTATTTCTCTTGGCTGCCTGTGGTGTTTCGATGTGTTTTGTGGTTGGTTATTTATATTTTTTGTTGGATCCTTGTTGTCACAATGGTTCTTGTGTTCAGTGATCGATGTTGGTTTCCTTTGTGTGGATGTTGTTGTCTTGTTCGATATGTGGTGGGTTTTGTGTTGGTACCATTTTTCTCCTGACAATGGCTTGTTGGTTTCGATTATCACGGTAGCACACTTCGTCGTTGGCCAGGATTTCGGGATGGGTCAGTCCCGATTTCCCCGGCCAGAAATCCTGGTGTTGATCGATGCGTGGTTGTTGGCGTTTAACCCTCTGGAACCCTCATTGACTTGATCTCGACTGTTGGATTGGGTCAGATCTAACGGTCTAGATCTGGCCGCGACGTGATGATTTTTTTAGGGTTAATCAAACCCTAAATGCCTTACAATATTGACCATTGATCCCATCTCAATCTGACGGTTGTGGGCTATGCGACGCTGGGATTAATGCTGAAAAACCCTAATTCCCATTTGGACCTCCCACCGGGCTTGCTTGCTGGGTCAGGCTTGCTTGCTGGGTCAGGCTTGTATGCTTGGTTGGGCTTTGACCCGGACCTTAATTTTGGACCTGGAAAAAGTAAAATAAATTAATAAAATAAAACAGAAATAATAATAATAATAAATAATATACAAATATTTTCAAAAACCATATAATATATAAATTTTCAAAATATTTTAAAAATATATATTATATATGTTTTTAAAAATATTTTAAAAACTATATAATATATATTTTCAAAAATATTTTAAAAAAACTATATATTTTAGATATTTTCAAAATGTTTTTTAAAAACTATATAATATATAAATGTTTTCAAAATGTTTTCAAAACCATATATTATATAAGTTTTCAAAATGATTTTAAAACCTATATATTATATATATTTTCCAAAATGTTTTCAAAATGATTTTAAAAACTATATATTATATATATTTTCTAAAATGTTTTAAAAAACTATATATTATATATTTTTTCAAAAATGTTTTAAAAACTATATAATACGTATTTTCAAAAAACTGTTTGGAAACTATATTATATATATATATATATATAAATATAAATATATGGACGAAAATGAGTGTCTACAGCAGAATATTTAAACAGTGAACAAAACAACACTTAGCATAAACAAACTGCATCATTCATTAACAAGCAAATAACGTTCAACAAAACAATAACCAACACCATGTAAAACAGTTCATGGTGCGGTGAATATCATCCACAAATCATTCTTTTAAGTACAACCCTTAAAAGTATATGAAGATGAAGAACAAAGGAGCAAAACACTCCCAAAACAAGAGCTCTACCGTGACATTCTGACCACCACCACGCCTGCTCTAGTGGCCGACCTCTCTCGAGGGCCTGGCCGCTGCTCCGATGAAGCCTGGCTATAGAGGGCACCAAGGACGGTCGAGTGGAAACGGTGGAAAGTAAGGTGCTGCAGCCGTTTATTCCAAGCCTAGGGTATATTCTCTCATTTATTGCGCCGCCTTTTGAAAAGCTATGATGGGGTATTTATAATGGGAATTTCTAGGATTTAGTTCCCTTGGAAATTCCCTAAATACCCTCGTTGACATACTCGTGTTATAAATGACATAGCAACTGGAAGTGGTCAATTTCCTTGATAAGGGTATGAAAGCACGTGAGGATGAAGCTGGACAAGTGACGTCAGCAGTTTTGTTGAGCCACGTTAGACTTGCAAGATAAATCTTGCCTTTGGAAAGAAAATCTGTTTTGGGTCAACTTGTTGAAACATGCCTATAAAAGGTGAAGTATCAGCAAAGTTATTCATAGAAATCTCTTGTGTTTTTCATATGCAAATTATCAGAAGAGCTCTTCATCGAAATTTCTTCTCAATCTGAGAACCTTCATCCACAATCATATTAACATGATAAAAGCTAGCATCAATGATTTTTTTATACTTACGCGCTTCATGTATGGTAAAGAAAAATTCCAGGAAAGAAAAAGTATTAAAACTGTATAATGCACAGCCACAAAGATAATAACCTAAGAATTTGCAATATTCAACTTTAGTTAGCCATATTAATATCTACCTGATATTGCTGGAGTGAGCACGCCGTCACCTATGACCATAGCAGCACCGAAGAGTACCACAACAAGAAGGGCTGTCCTTAGCCTTTTATGCTTCTCCAAAAATCGCTTCAATGGAAAACCAGTGGTCTGTGCTGAGGGGCCATATTTTTAGGCAAATAGCTCTTCATCAGCTGCTTGCTGATTGGGAAGCAAGCTAAACTTAGCATGCCTACAAAGAAGCGAGTAGAGAGCAAAACTGCCACCTGATAAGAACTCATATATAAAAGCTTGTGAATAGTTAGCCAAAATTTTATAAGTGAGTAATATCCACTGTGAAGTTTAATGGTTAACCTCACCTTCTCCGTTATCATCTGCACTCAGCACAATAAACTCATATTTAAGAAAGGGTATCAATGTAAGGGTCCAAAAAATAAAGGAAAATGCTCCGAATATTGCATCTTCATTCTGATGGTTCTGCAACTTCCCTATGAACGTGCTAGAGTAAACATAAAGAGGCGAAGTGCTCAGGTCTCCATACACCACCCCCAAGCTCTGATATGCTAATATTAGGTTCCTGGAGAGATTGACCCACGAAAGCTGCAAACTAATACAGGTACTTAACAATTCACGGTTTCAAATGAAAAAAAAATGTTAATGCCATGATTTATGCCGAAACATACATAAACCCTAGACTCCAACTCAAGCAGTGGTCAAATAGAAAAAAAAATCAGGAAAGAGTTCTAATATTAGGAATTAAAGCCAAAGTTATCATATGCATATTGCAAATTATTGCTATTCCCACATATTGATTTCCAAAAAGTTGTTTTCAACAGTAGGCATTAGATTGATACTTTTGTTGCAGTGATTAGCATGTAAAAGAAGCAGAACTGCATAAGATAGGTTAGTAAAAGAAATTGATTGATAGTGTGTGAATCGTTGATAAAAATATATGCTAACTCAATCAAACAGCTAACTAAAATAAAGAAGGAAACTACGATCTAAACTGAATTCAAAGTGTTGCTGAGATTAAGAAGAAACCGATAAACTGAACAAAGCTAAGCGAGTTGCATCCAGATTAAAAAGAAGCAGAAAACAAATAATAAGATCAAAAAGAAGAGAATAAGATTCAAAATCTTAGAAATAGATAAATAAGTGAAGACTAACCGGGGAAGGATTTCGAGGAGGAGAAGGAATGGAGATTCCAGATTCTGGCTCCATTGAAAGTAGTAGACTCAGTGTGGGTTCTTCTAAAACTTAATGAATTCTACTATCGAAATTCCTTGGCAGCTTCCAAACACAAATCTCAATCTCAATTTCCCACTCCCATTCCTCCACCCAACAAATCCTAGTAAACTGACGCGCATACCTTCCATATAAATCTAAAATTGCTTATGCATTCCTCCTCTTTATATGTTATCATAATGTCCTCCAATATATATATATATATATATATATATATATATATATATATATATATATATATTATATAATAATGACTTGTCTTATCTATTTTCCATCAATTATTTATCTAAACTCAGACCAAATAAAATTGGGTAAACTGCACATTTAGCACCCCAATTTTTACTTTTATTTTGTTTTGGTTACTTAACTTTTTAAAAAAATCATACATTGTGATACATTTTGTCGTAAAAAAATTAACATAACTACTAACGTGATATTTTTATTTTTTTCAATGACGATATGGTATTATTTTGTGGTGACATGTCAGGATCACCGCTAATTTTTTTTAATTGTGAGTGATCAAAATGAAACCAAAACTAAAAATTAAATATGCTTTTGAAAAAAATAATTGAATGACCAAAATATAATCAAAATGATAATTTGAATACTAAACATGTAGTTTAGCCTTGAAATTTTCATATCTATAGAATATTTATTAAAAATTATCCCCTAAAATAATAGAATTGAGACAGCTAAGCAATGGAAAATAATGTGTCCATGTTACAATGGACTTAATCAAAATGTTGATACAAAATGATTGAGAAATAAGGATTCATCATGTGTTACGTGAATAAAATCAAGTTATGCTTTAGTAAAATAATACTGAGGCCAACGGTTAGGCGAAATATTCTTCCATGTGCCTCCATCATCGGTTAGAGGCAAAATAATCCAAGAAATTTGTGTAATTTCGGATTAATATTAATTTTTGTATGAGAAAAAAAAAAACATTGTGATGAAAAGGGTAATTAGGCATTAAGTGTTGAGGTATTTTTTATTGCTTTGTATTTATTTATCTTGCTTTGAAATTTCCCCTTATTCCATTTTTTGGGGTTGTTTTGAGATTAAAAAGTATGTTATTGTTCTTACTTTTATATGGTTTTCTTATATAGTAGTTTAATTTATTTAATGTATTAGAGGGGTTGTATTTAGATAATAATTTTGTTCAATCATATTATTTGTGTGCTCAAATTGTCGTACGAATTGTATATGTTAATAAATTTGTTGACCATTGAATATATTAAGGTTAAAATCGTTACTGTATTATGGGTATTTTAATAAATAATCCTTAAATAATTTATTGAAATAATTTTTTTTGGCAATACAATGGGGATTATTGACACTTCAAGAAACGGAAGAGTGGATGGACTTAGTCGTTATCCTAAAAGAATTTTGATGTTGTAGTTGATTTGTGCTACTCATGGTTGGAAGAAAAGAACAATTTGTGTGAATAATTAATAAATAGATATTCCCACGGTTTTGACTCGGGACTATAGAAACCGGTTTTTGTCCGGTTCAAATGAACAAATTGAGAACCAAAAGAAGTCAAATATTTTTTTTTATTAATTTGAGGCAACTATGAGACAGTAACAGTTCAAGGATGATTCTTATCTTTTTAATATTGAACACTCACGCTTTTAGTATCTATGATGTTCGAACTTGAGTCATTGTTCATTTATCATGAAAATCACTTGATTCGTGTAAAGTCAAATACATATATTATTAGTTTATTAACATTTGAAATTGTGTTATTATGTATCAGCAAGAAGCATGAAGGCATGCTTGTGTACTATTACTACTTTGATTGGTTATTTTAAACTCGTGGTGAGACGCCATATTAGTATGATAGCAATTGGTTGCTTTTATTTGTACTGAATTATAGTACTTGGATGGATATCTACTAAAAAGCACCAACCCTCGTAGTTGAGGAGCTTTCCCTCAACCTTCCTTTCTCTATCAAACATATGATTTATTATTATTGTTGTTATTATTATTATTTGAGGTTTAAAACTTCTCCAACTAGCCTTTCTCTATCATTTCCCTGAATCTTCCTTTGTCAATTTGCATAATTTATTGGTGCTTTTACGGCGACAAACACGGCTATGAAAGTTCTAGACGATTATAAAAAGGTGTAACGATAAAAATGTTGATAAAATTTGATTAAATAATTATTATGGTTTCTATTTTTTAGAGTATTTTGGTCTTTAAAGTTTATCATATCTCAATTAACATATTAATGTCCATCTCAAACGATTATCAGATTTTTAACGAAAATAATGAGTTTGAAATATATGAATAGTTAGGTGATAATTTTATAACTTTTAATAGTCGAAGGACTTAACATAATAACAACCAATAATTGAGAGATTATTTTATAACTTTTAATAGTCTAGAACTCAATAAATTAATGTCTTATAGTCGGGGACCATTTGTGTAATTTACCTAATTTTTTATTAGGTTTATAATATTAATTATAAATTTTTTATTATGTATAAATAATAAAGACGTAATAAAATTTAGGGTAAACTATACCTATAACCACTTAGCTATTGTCGCTTTTTATTTTAATCATCGATCTTTTAATTTTATCAATCAAACCACCTATCTATTTAATTATTGTCTATCAAACTACTTGTCGTTAATATTTAATGGAGGATGATTCTATATAATACTTTACATCTTTTTGGATATATCATGCCATCATTTTGTTATTCTCTTAGTGAGAGTTAATGGTTGGTTGACCCTATTATATTAAACTAATAATGTTTATAATTATAGTATAACTTTTCAAACATACAAAAATGAAAACATTTTCAAACATGACCATCATATATATGATTTACCCATAAAATAATATCAAAACACAAATAATTTCATTTAACAAATAAATAAATCAACAGTAAAACACAATTTAATATCAATACCACTTTAATAATGTTATACAACATATACTAAAACACAATTATTCTAAAATCCAAATAAAACATTTTAGTGTCGAATTTTAAGGATTAAAATGAAAATTGGTATACTTTATATACCAAATCAAGAATTAAGTTAGAAGTAATATTGTGTGTGTTTTAATTAGTTGAAGGATTCTGTCAATTTTTAAAATGAGAAATCAAGAACCGTTTAATGGGATACTTAAATTTAATTTAGGTAAGAAAAACCTCTTAAAAGATCAAAGTAGAAAAAAAGCTATATATTTGAAGTACAAATAAATCATTAAGCATTTAATTTTTTATAATTAAAATTGTTATGAATATTTATTTACATAGATGTATATCTTTATTTATAAGGTAAATGTTTTATATATTTTATTATTAGGATTTTAATATCCATTAAATTTAGAGTTTTATATGATATTCATTTTTTATGCTTATAAATATGAAGTTTAGAGAAAATATTGTACACAACTCATATTCAGATAATAATAAAGTTCTACATAAACCAACTTATGTCAATGGTTAAAGGAATCATTGTTATTCATATAGGTCATGGGTTCAAGCACCAGTAGCTGCAACAGAGTGATTGATTGTTCGTTGATGTTGTTCCTAATTTATGACTTATTTTTGAGAAAATTTGAATTTTGTTTTTGAAAAATAATTTTAAAGTCGTCATCAACCTTTGTGTTAGGTCGATCGAATAACTAAAAACAATTTTTTAACTAAATTTAGAAAAATCATTTAAAATATAAAAATTAATATGTATTACCATAAATTAATTTTTAAGAATTCATGAGTCAATTATGCATGGGGAAGGGTAAGCATCCACGCAACGCCCAAATGGTGCCTCTCCATTATACATTGTCAAAGTAGTGAAATTTTACATATCCAAGTACAAAATTTAAATTACAATCCTTTAATTTTGAAGAATGAATTTAGAAAAGAGCAATTTTTTTGAAAAATATTTGAGTCAATGAAAAGTATTTAATTTACTTGGTTTTATTTAAAAATGATGTCCTCTTAGTACATAAATTAACAGAAATTGAAATACAGTTATTTTAGACGCAATTCCATTAACCAACGATGCAAAACAATATTGTCTTTGATTTTAAAAAAAATGAGAAAATTAATGAACGAGTAATGATTGCAATAACAATAAATGTCATGAAAATAATAAATAAAATGTCAATAATATACAAATTTAAACAAGTAAATTAACACACAAAATATTTATTAATTATGTTAAAAGGTAACATGGTTATTCTTTCACTTGTACGTCTTAAGAAATCGAACTCTAGATATTTTAGACGTTTTCCCATGGACCGCTCTTCGTTCGAGAATTTTCTCATTTAATTTGATTTTAATTGAAGTAATTAAATTATTATAAAATATGGGTATCTAAATAATAATAATAAATACCTTAATTGAAAATAAAATAAAATAAATTATGTATTTTTTAAATACCATGAAATATAGGAAAGATACATTTTTATTCGAATAACCATCAGAAGGACACTATAGATTTTTGGAGGTTTTCCATCGATTAATCGAACATAAAGAGATCTTGTAAAAAAATTAGAATGCTAAAATAATATTTTTTAACTATAAATATATGTATAATAAGGTATATAAGAACACTATATTTAATAAATTATATGTACACGTAATACTATATCATATATTTATATTTAATATCTAATTTAAATATACCATAACATCACTTAAAAAATATATACAAATATATATAAAAAAAATAACTAAAATAAATAACAAAAAAATACAAGGACTAAAATAAAGTGACAAAAAGTACATGGACTAAATAAAAAAACCCTAAACAGTACTTATAATGAATATCTGATAAATCAGCAGTCCCAAAATTAAAATGTTAACAAAACAACAATTATAAACGGACGAGGACATAAATGAAAGGAAGCACAAATAATAGGCTTAAAATCAGAAAATTAATAATTCATTCAATGACCACAATAGAAATATTACAAATAAAGAGGGTCTTATCAAATGATTTACCCACACGCCAAAATCAGAGATCTCTAAACCTCCAAAATGGTGACGTTCTGTGAC